TTTTTTTAAAAATTTGATAAGAAAAAAAAGTTTTGAATTTATAATTTTAAAATGTCTATAATATAACACTCGAATCCTTTCCTCGTTGGAAAACTTATCGCAAAAATAAATTTGAAAAGGATTAATGCGAGTTTAGACAAGCACACACCCAGAGAGAAATATGCCATCGAACAAACCGGATGTGATCGTCAGAATCAATTTTGAAAAATGTTATAAATTAATTAAAATATTTATACCGAAAAAAGAAAAAAGAGTTAAAACGGAAATAATTCTGGTTATCGTGGGAACAATAGAAGCCTTATCACAATCGCCAAAAACACCAAAGAAATCTTACAAAAGATGCCATTTGTGAAACGGCCCATATTTTACCCAAAAAATTATATAAAAAATGTCATTTAAATTTTAGCATCCATTCTATGAGTAGTAGAAACCTGCGTGTGAAATTTATTTTTATTTAAAAAAACCGAGAATAATAATAATAAAATAAAATAATATTCTCTAAAATGAGTAGATTTATATGAAACATATTTTTTTTGGGGGGGAGAAGGAGGGGGCGTTTATGCCGTATTTTACTACTTCGATAGCTCAAGGAGAAAAAAAAAATATTTATATATTCTTCAATTAGTTTATTTAAAACGTTTTTTGTGGAAAAAAATCGTTTAAAATCTTTAAAACTCATTTAAATAATTTTTTCCCAAACGAAATCCATAATTATTAACCGATACAGTTAATTCTCTTCATGTAAAAAAATTATATTTCCCCACCTCCCTCCCCATTCCTAACCTCCTTTCCCTTATTTTTTCATCTTATCATAACCGAATCAAAAAAAAATTGCAAGGTTTAAATGTGTTTGTGTGTGTGTGTGTGTGTGTGTAAGGTGGTAGGAGGTACACTTATTAACAATAATAAAGTTGACTACAGGTTGCTGTCGTATTATAATAATATATTATAATAATCGATACGGATGACTAAATGATTGTGATTATGAAGGTAAGAAAATTATCTGAGGCAAAATAATTTTATAATAAATAGAGAATATCTAAATAATAATCTACTAAAAGGTTTTTTCGAGAGGTCGAAAAACTTAAAGCGCTCTTAAACTTCTGTCTATCAGGCTATCAAGCCCAGATTTAATGATAATCCTTTCATAATGATCTTTGCACTATTCGTAAAAGCATTAATTTTAAAATACCATTGAAAATTTATCCCAAAAAAAAAAAAAAAAAAAAAAAAAACGATTTTTATGGCATTTTCTATTATACACTTGTGGTCGTCATAGTAGTAGTAGTAGTAGTGCTAAGGATGATTTCTTCCGGTGACTTGAACTCTTGCAACCGCCGTCAACCCTTAAGGCTTTCAAATGAATTTAATTAAAGTAATAAAAAAAATTTTCTTCACGATTTCTTTTTCAACCGAAAACCTATAGCAAGTCGTTTTACACGTGGGATAAATCCCTCCCGCTCCCGAAAACTGGTTTGCATCTAAAAACGCCATTGTTGAACGTTCAAAAAAAAAATTATTTATGCCTTAAGCCAATGTTATAATAATTTGCTTCTTTCTACGCCCCTGATCTAGTGATAACATTCGATGAAAATGATCACCTTAAGTGATTTTTTTCCATGGCATTTTTATTTTTTTCTTTCTTTTTCAAACCGACATTTCACCAACTTAAACCTCCTCCTCCTCCTTCTCCCATTAAAAAATTGTTCATTATCGATAATGTTATTATTATTTTACTCTTAAATAAAAATTTTTTAAAGAATTTAAAATAAATTCTAAGTTTTAATATTAAATTAATTTAATATTTTGCATTAAAATTTCTAAATTTTCATTCTACACACACAAAAATAAATAAAAAATAAAAAAAAAAAACTTTTATATACTTTGAATAAGATTTAGAGTAAAAGTAAAAAGAGAGGGGAAAAAGTTTTTTTCTAACCAGATAAGGTTAAGAAAGTAATATTTTCATTTACCTGACATAAGACTTACATTTTTGAATAATCCGTAATGAACTTTTATTATTTCCATATCATTAAAATCAATGAGTTTTATTTTAACAAAAAAAAAAAAAAAGACAAAAAGAAAAAAAAAATTCACTCGAAAATTCTTAACCGAATTCGAAACGAGAAAATGGCGTCACGTGACATTCACAAATCCACATTGTCAACGCAATATACATATATATTCAAAAACCCATTTCAGAAAAAAAAAAATTTTTATTATTACTTTTTTTTTTTTTTCTTGTTTCACTCAAATATTTTATCGAAATAAACCCTCCCAATAAAACACACGTATAATTATTTATATAAATAAATAAAAACAAAATTTATAAGTAAATTAAAACATATTTATAATTAAAAAAAAAAAATAATAAAAGTTCAACAAACGCTCCGTTAGGTTTACTCGCCGAAAACACTAAAGAATTTCATCGTACAAAAAAAATGCTGGAGAAGAAAACGTTGACTCTTGAGTACCTGCATCATCGTACTTGACTTGATTTCATTGCTTTTTTTTTTTTTTTTTCTTTAATTGTTAGAATATAATTGTTAACATTTTATTTAATAATTTATCGTCGTTTAACAAATCATTCGTAATACCTGCTTTTTATTCTTCTTCTTTTTTTTTTTTTTTTAAATGATACAAATTTTTTTTATTTTTATTTTCATTCAAAATTGTTTAAAGTTTGGTTTATTTAATTTTTTTTTTTTTTGAATTGAACTTATTCAAATAACATAATCCATTATTTTCAAAAATTTTTTTTTTCCAAAAAAGGATAATAATAATAAAAATTTTAATTATTTAATGAAAAATATGTTTTATTAAAAAAAAAAAATTGATTGATTGATTGATTAATTTCTGTTTTTATTACAAAATATCAAATTTAACAACAGCTAGAGATTATTATTATTTTAGAAAAAATAAAATAAATAACCACATAATGATATCAAACTGTTCAAAACCGATTTGTAATAAATATTTGCCATTCTTTATACGATTTATAAAACTTAATGTTTTAAAAATTGCTCTTGAAGAGAATAATCGATAATTTGATAATTCACATTTAAGGAGATCATATAATTGGATTTCAAAAAAGATTTTTGAATTTGAAAAAAAAAAAAAAAATCTACCTTTGGTAACTATAGGTTTATAATATAACACACTTATATTATTTTAAAAACTGTAAAAATTAATGAGCTGTAATTTTTTTTACTACATTTTGAAACATTTTGATTCTGTACTTATAATGTCAGAATTGTGTAATTTAAAAAGTTGTAAATAATTTTTTATTAAAATTAAAAAAAAATACAAGTTTTATAAGTATTTGTGTCTTTATTTAGGTTTTAAGAGTGACAGAATTCCAAATTTTTGTAGTAATATTTTCATCTTTAATGTTTTTCGTTTGTATTTCATTTAAATGCGCAATCTATAAAAAGAAATTTAAACATAAATAATTTTCATAATTTTTTTTCTTTTATTTATTAAATCATTTGATTATTATACCTGACTTCTGATGTATCTTATAAGTGCCTCTATCTTTCTGGGATCATCACATTTTTCTCCGAAAAAATAATACCAAAGTGCATTAGAAAATACTTTATCATTAGTTAATAAACCTTCATCATAGGCAAATAATATTGTCTGGATAAGAAAAAATAAAAATTATTAAACATAATTGTCATCTTCTTTTGCAGTGAATAACTACAATTTAACAAAAAATTTTTAATACCAACACTAAAACTATTTAAAAGAAATTTGAAATCCTCACGATTATTTTTATTTCCAGGAGCTAAAGTTTTAGAACGTTTTAATGCATCTTCCCACATTGCATTTATTAATGACTGTCTAATTTTTTTACTCTCAGGTCCATCTTGATGTAATCGTACCTAAAAAAAAAAAAAAAACATGCAATTTGTAGTAATATCAGTGTTAAATATTAAAATGAGGGTTCGACATAAATTCTTACCAACAGCATCCATACATGAAGTTCAGTAACTTTAAACCATGAATAAAATGTGTCAGGCATTTCGAATGCAGTTATAAACTTTGTAACATTAATTCCATCAATTGTTAAATACCAAATGTATCCTGTTTTTAATTGTTTAGCATTGTATGAAATATTAAATTTCTTTAAAAAATTTAAAATTTTATATTTATACTCCAAATTGATACCAAGGCTTATATATTTTCTGGATTCGAATGAGTTTGTTGTGATTTTTCTACATTTTTTTTGAATTATACTTTTATTTAACGGATTTATAGTACACTGTGTTATAAATGGTCTGACAGAATTTAAAAGAATTTTTGATGAGCAAAAACAATTAAAGTATTTTATTGATAAATTAGAATAAAAATAATTTTTTGTAACCAAATTCATTATGGTGAAAAATTTTTCATTGAAAATATATAATTTATTTGATTATGATATTATTCGATTAATATTGATATAGTTTTTATTTATTCTGAATTATTTTTTAGTTTTAAAATTACTGTATGTTAATTATAATAACGTTTTTTTTTTTTTTTTTTTTTTTAAATTTTTAAAATTAAAAATTTTAGTTTTATTTTCTCTATGACTAAAATCGTTGTTGTGAAAACATTCGTGCCCGAAGATTTTATTAATAAAAAATTCATAAATTTTTAGCGGTAAAATTGTTTTTTCGCAATTAGAAACTAATCAAAATATAAAAAATTATCACCGACAACTGTATTTGATCATATTTTATAAATACTTTATTTATTACAGTACTTGCAATAGTAAAAATGAATTTATGAATTTAAATTTTATAATTACATCTAAATAGCTTTTTTTATCAATTCCGGTTAAAAATGTCTTCATCTGAGACTGAAAATAATGTCAACATAAGGGATACGGAAATTTTCAATGAAATACGAAATTATATTAGGAAAAAAATTAATAATTCTTTTGAGTATTTTGAAAAGATATGGCCTCAAAAGAAACAGATAATGGATATTATTCAAAAATCAATTGAACTCGGGGAAAGTAATTCGGTTATAATATGTGGTTCTCCTGGGAGTGGAAAAACAACGGTTAGTTTTTTTTTTTAAATATAATAAAAATAAACAAAAAAAAAACAATATTACTTTCTAATATAATATCAACGGTTAAATTAAAATTATTCTGTGCCATTAATAATTAATAATT